CAATTTATATACACATTCTGGAAGGATACTAAAGAAAAAAATATTTAATGTTGGTTACCACTGGGGCATAAAAAACTTTTTTGGGGAGTGGTAGAGGGAAACTGTGTTTTTACTTTTTATTTTATACTCTCATAAGTTTAAATTTTTACCATAAGCAGTTATGTATAAAATTGTCCTATGTAACGTACTATAAAAATATTTTAAAGAGGAAGTTAAGTAACTAGCATGAGGTGACAAGCTAAAAGTTTATCTATGTTGGATTTCAACCTGGGCCTAATCCTAGATTCATCATGCTTATTCTATCCTGGGGTTCAAAAACTTTCTTCTTGCATATCATTATCAAAAATGGACATTCAACAGGTACTCTGCCAATCACCTTATAGATTACATATTTTTTTCTTAAAAATTTTTAGTAACATGAGTTTTCCATTTCTTGCTACCACTATGTAACTAATTCAAATGTTTGATGGTCATGTCCACTACATTACGTTTAATAATGCAAAACAGCAAAAGCCCTTTTTGGCACTAGGTAAACTGACTAGCATGGTGTGTGATGGTATCAATACTGGTCACATCTATCTTCTACATTTAAGATTCTAAAGAACCCTTCCATTGAATATTTAGTCCTGTTGGCATGTGATATTCACATAAATATTTCTCAATAGCATTTTTCGCAGGGCAGTTATTCTGTATGCAGGCACAAATTTAATATTATTGACCTCTACCCACTAAATGCTGGTAGTCTTTCTACACTCCTTCCTACCTATCAAGTGAATATAACATCCAAAATCACTCACTTGATTAAGAACTACTGTAAGATGTCATGCTTTTTAAGGCACAAGTGATAGTGCCTCAGTTATTCCAGAATGCTGGCAGCATTAGGGGATCACTAGTCTGTTGTCTGCCTCAACAGACAGATTCCCATGATAACGTGTCTTATCCAAAAATGTCTCAAGGGGCCACAGGGTGGAGAGGTGGGTAGTATTCTGCTCCTGATTTCTTCAAGACTATATAGCAATTTTACCTATTACAGAAAAAGTATAGAACACTTAGTATAATATCACTCTTGCAAATGCTATTGCTGCTGCAGTCAAACTCAATTTCATTCTAAATATTCTAAAAAAGCTTCTCGCTCAAAGAAAAACAACAACAACAACAACAACAAAACAAACCTCTCAATTCTGGCATAGGAAGAGAATAAAAGAATCTAAAGGACCACTTGTTTTCTTTCCACTTTTACTCTCATCCACATCTAATTGTCAGAGAAACTAATAAAAATATTTTTAAAAACTCTTTCAATAATTTGATATGAAAAAGTAGTCAAAGTTTTAAATAAATTATAGACTACTTCAATTTTTGACTCTATTACCACCAACCTAAACGTATGAGTTGAAAAATGAAATCTTCTCTAGACTTTCAAGTTGCTCTCTGGTCCTAAAATTCCAACCATTTCAAAGCTCCCCAAATCATATTAAAATCAATCACACCCAGGACCCTGAATGTCTTCCTATAAAGGCTGTTCACAATCAGTTTAAGTAGTCAAGAAGTTGGAGACTGTGTATCATAAAGATCCTAAACATGATTTTTTAACAGCTCCTGCTTAATAACCAGTAGACTACATACCCAGCAATTAGAATAAATTGTGAGGAACTGCCAAAGTAGCACAGATTCACAGGCTACAGAAGGGGGTAAAAATAAAAGGAGCATTTGTACCTCCAGAGACTCCTTCCAGATGTTACACTTTACACTGAAGGGCTATTGAGAGAAACAATGAGGCCTCCATGAAAACATGTTACTTTAGTTTCCTTTTTTTAAAAAAAATTCCCTTTCCTTAAAATGATTAAGTGGACATCTTACTAAACAGATTCTTATACAAGATTAAATGTAACAAGACCACTCCCAAAAGAAGGACAATCTATTAGTCGAACCATCAGTAATGACTTTCATATGGCAGTCTCTATACTCCAAGTTACCCAAGACAGTGGATAAAATCCACTTTCTAGAGCACTGAGACTCAACAAAGCCTTTGAAAGTAAGATCTCTTATAGACTGCAGAGATCTATAAGTGCCTAACATTCCACTCTGTATACGTAGCAGAGATGTTCATAGGCTGCCTTAACAACAGCAATTTTAATTTGTTTCTATTAGTGAATTTGTCAATGACATATTTACAAGAAAAATTATTTTCCAAAGTACAGAAAGAACTTGAAAGTAAATCAGGGCATTAATAATTGAAGTGAAAATTCAAATACCAAAAGATTCAAAATAGGTCACTGTTTTAAAGTAATATTTGCAAACTTTCATGTGCTAACAAATCTCTTAGGAATCTTCATAAGGCTCATGCTAATTAAGCAGGTCTAGGTTAAGGAATGATGAGATGCTGTGATTTCAATCTGATCCCAGGCAATGCCTAGTCTGCTGTTTCATGGATCACCAACAGACTCTAAACCTTGACTAAGGCTAAAACATGACAGAAATATAAGATTCTCAAAAAAATAATAATTCTTTCGTGATATTTTTCCCAGTTTGTTTTTCTTTTGATTATTTATCAGAACAATTTTCAGGAGTAAATATTCAGTGGTTTCACTGATTTTTTCACTTAATTCAAATTAAGAAAAACTTATCCAAATCATAAACCAGAGGACAGGAGAAAGTTGAACAAAACAAAGGCATTAACAATGTTTCTCATTCTAAGATGGAAAGTTTCCGAAGACAACAAATATTCTGTAAAGAGACCCATAAATGGTGAATTCCTTAATGTTAATAAACCAGTCTGTTGTGAGTCCTTTGTCTTTAGAAAAAATATTTTCTTTGCTTTCCTCTTACCTTTTTGTTTTGTTTCACTGCTATATAACTACTGACACTTTGAAAAATTGATGCTCACAACATAAACTTAGAACAAGAACAAACTACACTCTGCAAAAGCTGATTAAAGTTGCTGAAAAAAAATCAAGTGTAGCATCAGGCATATAGTTATCTCTAGATCATTTTTAAGCAGTCAATTTTCAAATAACTACTCATTTTAAATGCGGGTTCATTCATTCAACCAGCATTTATTGACTACCTACTATGTGTCAGGCACTTTGCTAAATGTTAGGGATAAAGTTTGGATCAGAGACTCAGATCTTTCAGATCCTGGCTTGGACATAATGGCAAATTGTGGCATGGTTTTTTTCTTTTTGTCTCTAAGCCTCCATTTTCTCAAGGTGACAGTGATAGATTATATACTGTAAATAAGTGCCTAACATTCCACTCTGTATATGATAATGAAGAATGCTATTTGAAGTACAAAGTTAGAGTCAGAAGTAGATTCTACCTTCAATAGGCCAGCTTTCTACTACATTGCTCTATGCTGGCAGATTATGAAGCAACTTGAAAGTGACGTAAAGAAAACATGACTGAACAGATAAATCCACTACCGAAGACAACAAAAAAAACTAAGACTGCCTACAACACATAATACATTCCAGAACTGAAAAGAAATGTGCTTTGGTTTAGTTTATGAGTTTGTGTAACATGTACACTAATGTTCTCTTCCACTAAACAAAAGTACACTATAAATAAATAGAACAAATGTTCCAGCTATGTGGTTTTATGCACAACGGGATCATGACAGGGCATACAACTTGGGACAATCTTAGTGCAGTAGTCATTACTTGATGCAACAGGATGTGTACACCATTAACCACAATTCTCTTTCTAATATTTACAAATCTACTGATAACAATTAGCTAATAAAGCAGCCTATTTTGAAAACCTAACTGGCAACAGTGATCTCACAAAAAGAAGCAGTACAGCTAAAGTTAAGAGCTTTGGTGTCAATCAGGCCAGGTGTCCCAATTTCAGTACTATTATTTCTAACTAGTTGTGAGACACCAGGAACGTCTCTTAACCATTCCACACTTCAGTTTACCTGAAGAATGGCAATACCAGGGCCTACTTCCTGTATTTACCAAAGTGGAATATGCTATTACAAGTAAAGCACTTAGACAAGTTCTTAAAAACAGCAGCCACTCAACAAATGCTAGCAATTTACTATTATGAAGCATAATATTACCTACAATAAAAAAACTAAAGACCTTTAGTTTTTAAGCTAAAAAAAAGATGTATAAGACTTAGGTTCTTTTTAAAAATATTTTATTTTTGTAGAGACACGGTCTCACTATGTTGCCCAGGCTGGTCTTGAACTCCTGACCTCATGTGATCTTCCTGCCTCACCCACCTAAAGTGCTGGGATTACAGTCGTGAGCCACCATACCCGCCAAGTTTTAGGGTCTTATAAAGCTTTAAGTTAGTTCACAGTGAAGTGATCAAAATTGTGAGAAACAGGAGTTAGGCAATAACGTGTATTAAGCACCCAACATCTTATCCTCCTATCCTACTTAATCAGCCTTCACTTGTAACGTCCTAAAGTTAAACAGCATTGGCGTAACTACAGAGAAGTCTATTCTGGAAAGGTTTAAAGGCAAAAAAGGACTGCTAGAACAAAAATAAAATAAAATAAAAATAAGAGAAAGGGAGGTTATGTAGACTTGAACTATATTTAAGTGGTGGGTAACCCAGAGGCACAGTAAAGGCACCAACCATCCCAGACAAGGGGGTGTGGGTCTGGGCTCACGGCGGCTCCTCCCAGTGAGGAGGCCGAAGCCATTGGGCCTCACCAGTGCGTCCCAGTGCGACACCCCAAACCCGAAGCCAGGGCACCACTGAGGGGTGAGCCTCAGCGCCTCCAATCCCGGCCCCGGGGGTCCAAACTGATCGCCGGTGCACCAAGCCAGCCCGAGCACCCAAGCTGCTTCCACAGGGAAGCCTGAGTCACTGTCCCCGCGAAGCCGGGGCCCAGAGGTTACCTTCGGCAGGGAACTCTTCAAACTCGTCGTCTTCCTCTAAGAGACCTAAGTCTACCGGCTGCTTTTTCTCTGACATCGCGACCCTCCGAGCCCAATACCTCCCAGATGAGCAGGAAAGTTGAAACCCTCACGCTTCCTCAAGGATTCACCACTGTCGCTGCCGCCTCAGAGGCTGACGCTACCATAGAGAGTCGGGGAAAGAACTACGGAAGTTGCGCGAGGAATGCTGGGATACTGGAGGTCGGCCCAGCGCTTCCTGCGGGTTTAGCGCGTTTTCCGAGTTACAGAGGTAATTTTTTTTTTGTCTCTGCTATGTTATTCCGACTCTCTGAATTGCCAAAGTTGAGATTCGTGTAGTTTTCCTGACATAAAAGACTCATAATGTGTAAAACAAACAAACAAACAAACAAAAAACCTTGACTTAGTTTGCAACCGAGGAAGGAACTCCAGAGAGTCTAGAGAGTGTGGTTGCTAACAACATTCATCAGCCCTTCACATGCATTATTACCTCCAGTCCTTAAACCAGTTCCCTAAGCATGGTATTAAATATCTACACATCGCAGAAAGTTCAGTTTCAGAAAGAAGCAGCCGAAGTCACTCAGGTAGTGCTAGACAACCGAAATGCAGATATTTTTGCCTGACTCCAATCTCCAGACTTTTCCATCAGGCAATGTATATAAGGTCTTAGAATTACTTTGCGGTAAATAGCTTGTTAAGTAGAATTTGTGGGGCGTGCGTGTGTGTGCAGTAACTCTAGTTTACAGGTTATACAATAATACTATTTAAAAATGGATTTGTGTAACATTTCATGCTGTTTAAAATACGTCATTTAGAATTTTTTGAATAGCGTTTGAATATCATTTTGAATACAGTAGTGAACTGCATGCAACTCTACATATAATATAGAGATGTATATGGATGAATATTATATAATATACACACACAAATTGAGTGTTATTATAAATTTGATACATGTTCCAGATTATATCTATAAATTCCATTCCTTTATTCAACAACTTTAGGTCATACTGCTTACCAGGAGCTGTACATCAAGCATGTATAGACAAGGTACCTTTCCTCAAGGAGTTCATAATTTACTCAGAGACATGTAAACAGATAAATCACAATGAAACACAGTAATCCAGTTGAATCTCCATCTTAATATTATGTGAGAAATAAACAGAGTGGGACTACAGAAAATGTAATAATTAAATGTAGAACAAACTTGGACGAGAACTACAATTAGTGTAATTTTTTTAAATGTATTTTTTAAAATACTATTTTGATTCGTATAGATTACTGAAAATAGTGATATCTCACTACCACAAAAAATTATGCCAGGTAATGCATATCTTACTCAGTGTGACTTAGTCATTATACAATATATATGTATTTTAAAATATGTTGTGCTCCATAAATATATGCAATTTTTATTTGTCAATTAAACTAACTTTTTGAAGAATGTAAAAAAAAAAAACGTTTTTGCCAAGGAGTCAGAAAACCCAAATAGAATTCCTGGACCTATTTTTTAGTTCATTTGATATATGATGAAGTTTGTATCAATGCTTAGCAAAAGAAAAAAATCAACAGCAATATTTGGTGATTCTTTTACCCCTAAAACTGTGTTTATTCAATTTAAAAAGAGGTTGTTGATTTAAAAATCAACAATCTTACGTCAAGTTCCACCACCCCTGCCCTTTCTTTCATTTCACTGGTTCATGAAATCCAGAATGCTGAAACTTAAAGAACTTCTCTTTTCAGATAAGATGGGGCATGTTCAGGGTGGTATGGTCATAGACAATAACTTCTCATTTTAAATGTCATGGCACATAGCACAATGAGCAACTTCACGCTTCAATGGTCATGGCACATGGAATAATTTTGGAAAATGATACTATAAATATATATTTGCAGACCAGTTTGTATTATAAATCCAGGCTCAATTTCTTCTAAAGGGGAGTTTGGAGAAATTACTTAATTTCTCTGTAGTACATTTTAGTTATTTGCAGTTACAATTAAGATTAAATGAGATTATGTATATAATGTGCATAGTCCAATGCCTGGCACATAATTGGCATATAATAGGTAATCAATACAGGTTAGCTATTATAAAGTAAGGAACTTATATTTTAAAATATCTCTGATTCTCCTTGTCAACCCCTAAAAGTCTCTAAGTGTGTGTTTTGTTTCTTTATATCTTTTTAACACTTTATGAGTCAGTTCCTCTCCAATTATAATAATAATTAATAATAATGTATATTTAGTGTTTACTTTGTATTAGGCACTGGGCTAAACCCATTTTGTGTATTTACTTGTTTAATCTTCCTCACAACAGCCCTATTGATATGGTTTGGCTCTGTCCCCACCTAAATCTCATCTTGAATTATAGCTCCCCTAATTCCCACATGTTGTGGGAGGAACTTGGTGGGAGGTAATTGAATCATGGGGGTGGGTCTTTCCCATGCTGTTCTGGTTATAGTGAATAAGTCTCACAAGATCTGTTGGTTTTATAAAGGAGAGTTCCCTTATACAAGCACTCTTGCTTGCCACCATCTAAGACATGACTTTGCTCTTCATTCACTTTCGACCATGATTGTGAGGCTTCCCTGGCCATGTGGAACTATGAATCAATTAAACCTCTTTCCTATATAAATTACCCAGTCTTAGGCAGGTCTTTATTAGCAGTGTGAGAACAAGCTAATACAGTCCAGTTGGTTACATGGTAGGAGGGCACTGTTGTAAAGATACTTGAAAATGTGGAAGCGACTTTGGAACTGGGTAACAGGTAGAGGTTGGAACAGTTTGAAGGGCTCAGAATAAGACAGAAAAATGTAGGAAAGTTTGAAACTTCCTAGAGACTTGGAGGGTTCAGAAAACAGGAAGATGTGAACATTCAGAACTTCCGAGAGACTTGCTGAATGGCATTGACCAACATGCTGATAGTGATATGAACAATAAAGTCCAGGCTGAGGTGGTCTCAGATGGAGGTAAGGAACTTGTTGGAAACTGGAGTAAAGGTTTCTTTTGCTATGCAAGGAGACTGCTGGTATTTTGCCCCTGCCCTAGAGAACGGTGGTACTTTGAACTTGAGAGAGATGATTTAGGGTTATCTGGCAGAAGAAATTTTTAAGCAGCAAAGCATTCAAGAGGTGATAGAGCATAAAAGTTTGGAAAATTTGTAGCCTGATGATGCTGTAGAAAAGAAAAACCCATTTTCTGGGGAGAAATTCAAGCTGGCTGCAGAAATATGTATAAGAGGAGCCAAATGTTAATTGCCAAAACCAGGAAAATGTCTTCAGGACATGTCAGAAACCTTCATGGCAGCCACACACACACGGACCTAGAGACCTAGGAGGGAAAAATGGTTTTATGGGCTGGGCCCAGAGCCTCCCTGTTGAATGCAGACTCCATGGCTAAAAGGGGCCAAGATACAGCTTAGGCCATGACTTCAGAGGGTGCAAGCCCCCAGTCTTGGCAGCTTCCATATGGTATTGGGTCTGCAGATGCACAGAAGTCAAGAATTGAGGTTTGGGAACCTCCACCTAGATTTCAGAAGATGTATGAAAATGCCTGGATTTCCAGGCAGAAGTTTGCTATAGGAGTGTAGCCTTCATAGAGAACATCGGCTAGAACAGTACAGAGGGGAAATGTGTGGTTGGAACCCCCATACAGAATTCCTACTGGGGTACCGCCTAGTGGAGCTATGAGAAGAAGGCCACCTTCCTCCAGAGCCCAGAATGGTAGACCCACTGACAGCTTGTACCATGAGCCTGGAAAAGCTACAGACACTTGACACCACCCTCTGAAAGCAGCCAGGAGGGAGGCTGTACCCTGCAAAGCTACAGGGGTGGAACTGGCCAAGACCACTGGAACTCACCTCTTGCATTTTAGCATGACCTGAATGTGAGACATGGAGTCAAAGGAGATCATTTTGGAGCTCTAAGATTTGACTGTCCTGCAGGATTTTGAAATTGCATGGGGCCTGTAGCTGCTTCATTTTGGCCAATTCTCCCATTTGGAATGGGTGTATTTACCCAATACCTGTACCTCCACTGTAGCTAGGAGGTAACTAATTTGCTTTTGATTTTACAGGCTCGTAGGTGGAGGGAAATTGCCTTTTCTCAGATGAGACTTTGGACTGTAGACTTTTGAATTAATGCTGAAATGAGTTAAGACTTTGGGGGACTGCTGGGAGGCATGACTGGTTTTGAAATGGGAGGACATGAGATTTGAGAAGGGCCAGGGATAAAATGATATGGTTTGACTGTTTCCCTACCCAAATCTCATCTTGAATTATAGCTTCCATAATTCCCATATATTGTGGGAGGGACCCAGTGGGAGGTAGCTAAGTCATGATGGCAGGTCTTTCCTGTACTGTTCTCATGATAGTGACTACGTCTCACAAGATCTGATGGTTTTATAAAGGGGAGTTCTCCTGCACCTGCTCTTTTGCCTGCCACCATTTAAGACATGACTTTCCTCTTTATTTGCCTTCAGCCATTATTGTGAGGCTTCCCCAGCTATGTGGCACTGTGAGTCAATTAAACCTCTTTCCTTTATAAATTAATCTCAGGTATGTCTTTATTAGCAGCATGAGAACAGACTAATACGCTTATTGTATACAATTTAAATCCACTTTATACTTGAGGAACTGAGACTCAGAGAGGTTGGTAATGTGGCCAAGATCATAGTGCTAAGACATGGTGGAGCTATTATTTAAGGACTTTCTTAAAGGATAGGAAACAAACCATCCCAATGTACAGAGAGGCAGACAGTTAACCCCCAGAATTATTTTTTTCTTACACATAAATGTAGGCAGAAGTGCCGAAGGCAAAGAGGTAGAATGAAAAAGAAAATCAAACTCCAGGATTAGCTCTCAATGACTAAGAAACTCTCAACAATCTTAAGAGAAGCATTTGTAATCAAAACTCTGCCTTCATTTACATATTATATCTGTAATTGATTGAATAGTTTTAACTTTATGGGTAGCAAAACAAATTAGCAGTGTATTTTGTAGTAGATGAATCTGTTTGTCTCAAGTAAATTTTTATTTAAGCAGTGTCTCACTCTGTTGCACAGGCTGGAGTGCACTGGTGTAATCATAGTTCACTGCAGCCTTGACCTCCTGAGCTCAGGTAAGCCTCCCTCCTCAGCGTCCCTGGTGACTGAGACTACAGGTTCAGGCCACCATGCCCAGCTAATTTTTTGTAAAGATGGGTTCTCACCATGTTGCCCAGGCTGGTCAGGAACCCCCAGGCTCAAGTGATCCTCCTGCTTTGGCCTCCCAAG